CTGCAAAAAATATCCAATATTACATTTTGGACTAAAAGAACAACGAGTAGCGGAAATTAGTTTTGCGATTTTTAGGTCATAATGAGCAAAAGGGCTTTTAGGCAAATGGAAATTGATGTACTTGTTCAAAGGGTAGGTATATTAATAGACAACCTATGAGTTCTTTTGTAATAAAAATTAATTTTTAAAAAACAGCTTTTACACTCTTAATGGTTAAAGTTTAATTAACTAAAAAACATGTACCTAATGAGAAATTTTGTAAGAAAAATAGTAGCTAAAAACTTTTCTCCTTCCAATTTTTTTACTGGTTTTGTTGGGTATTCTTTTAATTTCTTCTTTTTTCATCTTTCATAATTTATGTGTTCTAGGTATTACAAAAATACTTATTTTTGTGTTTCCAAGTAACATTAACTTATTTGGAATAAATTATAATATTAGAGTTATACAAATTCTAGTAAAATTTTTTTTTCTTTTTTTTTTCAATTAACGTGTCTTGACTACGAGGTCATTGACACGATGACAGTATAATACAATATAAGGTATATACAGTTTTACATTTGACAATACATAGTACAAACAGACACATAAATTACAAATTTAACCGTTACACATAATTATTACAATTTAGAGTTTACTAAGCACTTGAATGTCTTTTATATATTTAAACAAGTTTTCAAATTTCTGAGTTTCACTCAATATTTCTTTAATATTATCTCCCAATTGGTGTTGTTTTCTTTTAGCAGAAAGAAGCGGACATTCTTTAAGGAAATGTCTGACTGTTAAGGGACTGCTGCAATGGCCGCATGCAGGTGGATCGATAGATGTCATTAGAAAGCCATTTGTAAGATGAGTGTGTCCAAGTCTTAGTCTTCTTAGAATAACCTTGTGTCTTCTGGGCATAGGTGGTATGTCTAAAATGTGCTAAACTTTTTAGGATATTAATATTTTTTAAGCAGTTGCCTTTCGTTTCCTGTATGTGTGTATTCCAAGTAAGTCTGGAGTCGAAGGTCAGCCCTAAGACTTTATGATGATCAATAACATCTAGTAATACTCCGTTGTATGTCAAATTTTATCTTTATCTTTTAATTTTTTAAAAGGAAATAAACACGATAAAAAATATAAGGACTACACAGATATGAGATAAGAAAAAAAAACGGGAATTATAAAATAGACAAAATATTAAAATAAAAAAGCTAAGTTTCGTTTTTTTTTTTCATTTAGGTATTAAAAAATAAACAATTTTTCAGATCTTGTTTACAAATAGCTTTACATTAAACTTATATACCAATTTACACCGTATTTAAGAAAATTCAGGCTATGGTTTCAAAACTTTTTCATATTAGATTCTAGAAAACAGTATCAGTTTTGACAGTCAATGTAACTAAATAATAGTGAATTAAAACTTAATTTGAGAATATCTTTTCGAGACTTGGTTACTCCTTTTTCCCAAGATTCTAAGTCTCTGAGCAAGATATTTGCTGAATGTATTTCTTTTATTATCATCATCATCATCATCATTGCCTCCAGTTTTGCCGATCTCCTGCACCTACCTCCCATTGTTGTACTCCCATTTTGCTACTTGATCCTTCCATTTTTTCTTAGGGATCAACTGACCTACCATCGGGCAGTTCCAAAATGTTGTATTGAAAAGTATTTTATCATTCAATCTTAGCACATGTCCCATCCATCTTATTCGGTTTGCCCTAATGTAGTGTACTATGTTTTCATCTCCATAGAGTGCCTGGAGTTCCTGGTTATGTCTTCTTCTTCATTTTCCTGTAGTTTAGTCGCTAAAAAGCTCAAATATGGTCAGTAGTATCTTCCGTTCCAATACCAGTAATTTTGTTGCTTCACGTTAGTTCAGTGGCCATGGGTCGCCTCCATACGTTACTGTCGGCAAATTATGGTTTTATAAACTCTTTTTGCTGCTCTTGCGGGTATTCTTGATTTAAGCACCGTCGGTATGGCATAATATACTATTTCTACTATAGCTTGTATAATAAAAATATATACAAGTTACAAGTATAACTGAAGGCAAGGCACCTGTGGCTCAATCCAAGGAAGGTTATAAGCAATATATGGAGATGTAGGCTTTAAAACTAGAAATGATATGTTGGAATTAGCAACAGCATTAGATATGGCCATCGTTAAGAATTGTTAATACATACACATGTAAGAGGAAATAACAACTAGTGTTAAGACAACTGTGGCAGAGACTGATAGATTTCATTTAAAAGTAGGATTACATCAGAACTCTGTTTATTTCTTATTTATTCTCATTAGTGTTGAATCTAAATGGTTACCGACTAAATGGTTACCGCCTAAACAACATCAGATATGCAGATGACACCATAGTAATTGCGGACAACTTAGAAGACTTACAAGTTCTTATGAACAAAATCACGTATTACAGTCAACAATATGGACTCAATATAAACGTTAAGAAGACAAAGCTTATGATAATTGGCAAGAAAAGGATAACAGAATGTCAACTCTACGTCAACCAATCTCCTGTAGAAATAGTGACGCACTACAACTACCTCGGCACCATAATAAATGAGGAATGGACCAACAACCAGGAGATTAGAGCACGCATTGAAAAAGCTAGATCCACCTTCAATCGGATGGCGGCCTTCTTCAAGAGTCACGACCTCTCTCTTGACACAAAAGTAAGAATGCTACGATGCTACGTCTTCTCTGTCCTTTTTTATGGTGTCGAAACGTGGACCTTGAACGAAGATATGTGCAAAAAACTGGAAGCATTTGAGATGTGGCTATATCGGCGAATACTTAAGATCCCGTGGACTGACCGAGTCACAAATGAGGAGGTCCTCAAAAGAATGAATAAGAACCGACAGGTATTGACCACCATTAAATCTCGAAAGTTACAATTCTCCGAACATATTATGCGAAATGAATCCAGATATGCTCTCCTTCAAGCCATCCTGCAAGGAAAAATATTTGGAAAGCGAGGTCCAGGAACAAGAAGAACATCTTGGTTAAAGAACCTCAGAATCTGGTTCAATACAACATCTGTGCAGCTTTTCCGCGCTACTGCATAAGATAAAGATTGCCATGATGATCGCCAACATTCGTAACGGATAGGCACATCAAGAAGAAGTGTTGAACCAGATAACAAAGAAACTGCAGGGTAACATTTCATATGATTATATATATATATATATATATATAATAATATATATATATATATATATATATATATTTATATATATATATATACAAAGAAGAATTTAGCAAAATCACTCAAGAATCAGAATGAACAGGGCGATATGACTCCGACGGTTTCTGCTCGCGTACTATGCCAAAGAAATGTTTCAATAACATGTTTTTAAGTGTAGATCAGTCACGATGCGGTTTTACAACAATTTTATAACTTTCTTTGATGTTTACCGACGACGATAACATAAAACTTGCTATATAACCAGAAATATGTTATACAACACTGTGTTTTATAACTTTTTTATTTAAAATTCTGTAACAAGTTACTAAACTTTGTTATTTAACATGTTTTGTTACATAGTCTGGACCCGGCTTAAGAGTGGCGCAGAATAGAGAACATTTTGATGTAGTGATCGCAAACCTCTAAGTAATGGAGTGCATCAGAAGAACTCAATTTTTTATTCCATCTATCATCACTGAATCGTACTAAACGGCCTTAAATATCCATTTGGTTTTTGTCACTCTTTCTATAATACCTTCTACCATTTAACGTATCGTATTTGACATGATATGTACATTTAATTCCTAATATTGATTTTTTCATTTCCTTCTGTAATATTCTTGTAATGAAAAGATACAGCATTTTCAGTTATAAATGAAAGCACACATGGATTAAATACATTTCCCTTGATGCTAATAGGGATTTCTCTCATATTCTCATATTTCAGGCATAAACACTAGAATGTAGAACATTTGTTTCAGCAAATTCTTAATATCAGTTACGATATTTACACGAACAGTGCCACAATTTGAAAACAGAACATATAAATATCAAATAAATAATTAGAAAACAATACATATGGCGTTTTTATAAAGTGTCAACGTTGTAAAACTGTCCTTGTAAACCCTTCCTAGCCGAAGGAATGAAAAATGTCAGCGGTCTGTAACGAGATCTCTCGTTCAAAAAAGATTCCAGTGTATGGATATTACATCCGTGCAATATCGCACAAAGACCATAAGGACATCACAAATTGCAAACCGAATGAGTCGTTCGCGAGTTCAGGCTGGCAGGAACGCGGCAGAAGCAGAAGGCAACGTCCTTGAACCCGAGAGTATTGATTGGTCCAGACTCTCGCACACACACTCAAACGGCAGCAGCAGAACACAGCACCAGCAGCATTTGTAGAGAGAATACACAGCATCACTTTCTCTTCCGGCGGGGTTGCCGATTCTACGCCCGGAATCGAAAATACGGAACTTTATCAATAGTTTCGGTTCAAAATATTTTTTTAGTCGACCATAGCCTAGAATCAAGGATGATTTTATTTAATTTGCCACCTTACGAAACCGATGTATATAAGCTGATTTTTTAAACAAACTTTAGAGCGTTTTTGAAACTCCTTTCTTGTGGCATGTTTAACACATTTTTTATATGGGTATATTTTTATCACTGAGGCTTAATTATATATAAAATTCACGTTTGAATCAATAACGAGTTAATTTCATATAAAAATATCGATTTAAACTTCTCCTTCTTTTTATATAGACATGAGTGTATGTTTTTCAATGTGCCTCCAGTAAGTGGTCGTTCTATCGATTTCGTGGTCTTCCTACTAATCGTCTTTCTATTGGGAACCGTCTCTTTCCCTCTTTACTACTCTAGTTATTATCATTTGACTTATATGATCATTCCATTCTACTCTTCTATTTTTTACTCAGTTCTTGATGTTTTACTCCTTGCTTCTATGTTGTATATCTGTACTTCTAGCTCTGTCTTATAGTGTCTTACTATCAATTTTTCTAAGTGTTTTCATCTCTGC